AGCTTTAAACCATCTAGATACGTGGATCTAAATTCTATAACTGTTAAACTCACAAGTGACATTTAGCCACAATAAACCACTGTTGGATTGGCTGATATAGATTTGTTGCAACCTGAATTTACCTTTTGACAAATGTTAGAGAACACACACACATGAACGCACACAAAGAAAAACCCAGAACAGCAGGGTGCACTTCTCAAGCTTCTTTTTGCATATTTTATTTGCATGCTGGAATCCATCTTCCATTTCAAAACAATTCTTTTTTTCCCCCCACACATGGACAAGTTTCACCTGCTTCACAACAGGCGATCATTGCATGCACAGTCAATGTCAAATGGTCTCCAACTACAGTTTTTCTACACATTTTAAAATGTAAAAAAAAAAAAAAAAAAAGATAAATTATGTATAAAAGCACCCAGGGTTGGTAACAAAGGGTAATGGTTTTCACAAAAAACCAGGAGATGGGAATGTTCTTGGATCAACAAGGGCTGACTTCAGCCTGGCCGGCCATAAAATCCAGCCGGCTTGGTTTTCTTTCTCTCGACCAGACGCTCGACAATCCGTTCCATTGAGATGCTTTGTCTCCAAGCCTAGCAGGGGGCTGTCACTGGATCACAAAGGTCATGACAGAACACTGCCACTCAAATGATGCTTCACAGTTCATGCCAATGATGCCCCTAAACACTAAACGGGAGGCCCAGGTGGGTACGATTTGGGGAACACAAGAGACACCATACTGACTGCTTCAGTTTCACCTGCAATAACTGCCACCTGATAGAGGACGGTTCTACAAAACTATCCGACAGATACCCACATTTAAGCTTCCCTCCAAATTGAGTCTGCTAGGGGACTGCCCAATCAAAAAACCCGATCAAACTCAGACTGACTGGTGGTGGCAGGGTTGCGGTTCTGATTGGCTGGCTGCTGGGGCATGTGGCCCCGCCTCCGCGGCGGAGCTAGGTATTCAAACATGGATGTGTTGTGAGTGGAGAGCATGTTCTTCAGGTCGGAGGGCATGGGATCGGTCCAGAAGAAGTCGTGGTTGAGGGCGTCATCGCTGTCTGTGCGTTGAGCGGGGTCAAGAACGAGGAGTTTATCGATGAGGTCAAGCGCGTAGGGGTCCTTCACATAGGCCTTTAATCTCTCCTTCACCTTTCTTTTCTGCCCTTTAGGCAATTCCATTTTTTGGTACAGTTCGTATTTTTTGTCCACGCTCGGCCAGACCTAGGAGGAAGATGGTACAACCCGGTAAATCGTAATTCTGTATTTCCAACAACAAATACATCATGAATATTGATTTGTATAGATTCCAAAATGCCTCTATGATTCTAAAACACACACAGCTACACCTTCGACCCAATTGAGCAGCACTAGAACATGACAGAAACCTTGAACACACTGAGCCCACTGAGGCCAAGGTACTGAGGACTCCAGCAGCACTGAGCACTTACACCCTATATATCAGTAAAATCACCCACACCTTCAAAGGGTTTAAATACTACTTGCTATGTAATGCAAAGCAGTAAGTAGCATGCAACAAACGGCTTTAGTAGGACCTCTGCAGTGATGGAGCCACACAGCTGGCTGATGAGTGTGAGCTGGTGCTGCTCCGTGTTGCCCTGCATGATGGGACTGCGTGTCCACATCTCAGCCATGATACAGCCGCCACCCCACAGGTCGATGGGGGGGCCATAGTCTCGTTCCCCTGATGGAGAGAACAATACAGGTGGAGGGAGATGGACAGACCATTTACTTAATGATAGTTACTGGTGTTTCAGGAACAAACCTGACATGTTCAGTGTCATTAACAATGCCATAGGAAAGACTTGACATATTTTTAGTTTTTTGCAAAGGGCACAAATGTAAAGGTCACATTTCACCATTAAAATATTTTATATTATACTTTGCTAGGATAACAATAAAACTGACACTTTATTGATTCTTTTTTTTGGCTACCCCATCTTGCTCTCCACGACACAAAGACCCATATGTAGGTGAGAGCAAGCCGGGTAGCAAAGGACAACCACCTGCAGTGGTGCCCATGGAGCTGGGCAAAATCTTGGCAAAGACAAAAGGAGTGACATTAAAATGCAGGACGGGGGCGCCCGGGGCCACTTACCCAGCAGCAGCTCCGGGGGGCGGTACCAGAGCGTGACCACGCGGTTGGTGTAGCGATTGCCTTGGCTGTTCTTGGCCAGGCTGAAGGCTCGCGCCAGGCCGAAATCGGCCAGCTTCAGCACCCCGTCACGTGTGATCAGCACGTTGGCAGCTTTCATGTCACGGTGCAGGATCTGAGGGAGAAGAGCATGGGTTGCGCTGAAGCCGTGGTGGACGCGTCCATAAAACACAAAGCACTCCATTTGCCATCTGTGCGAATATCCACGTAAAAACACAGTAATTCTTACATACATTAACCTCGTGTGGGATCCCCATGTGATCAGCTGTTTCTGGTTGTTGTCATTAGTCCTCTGTATTAAGTCCGCGTTTCACTTTGTTTCCCCAGTCCGGTCATTGTAATGTCATTGTGTTTTTCTGTCTGTTCTCAATTAAACCCTGTGTTTCCCGATCGCTTGAGTCCTGTCCCTGCTTCCCCAGTCCAGGCTCGGGAGATCGTGACACCCCCAAGCCATGCCCCAACACTGCACCAAGGCTAGACTATGCCATGCGGTCCATTGTTTATTTTTATTATTACTCTGTATTCGTTAATTTGTTCGTGAATAGCAAACTTTTAGGTTGTAACATTTGTACAACTTTTACGTAACTTTTTGGTGAGCAATGGCTAACAAAATGTTATAAAGTACAGTGTATTACCTGATACAGTATTTTCAATAAAATAGCATTATCACCAACAAGCACTGCGACTACAGCAAATGCGAGGCTGACACTGAAGCGTTACCTTCTGTTTCCGCTCAGAGACGTGCCGTGTGACTCATTTCCTGGCGCGTACAATTTATATTAGGTCAGCGTTCACGGTTCGACTTCTGATATTCAAATCGAGTTCTACGTCAAACTGGTGTGTTCGACTTTCAAGAAATTCGAGTTCTAGTGAGTTCGAGAACCGAGGTACCACTGTACTTCATGTCAAAATGGCTGCTATGAAAAAAGGCCCTTTGGTGATATGAAACAATGTGATGCCACCTATGACTTCTAGGCAGCAACTCATGGTTTCAAATTAACAATGAAAAAAATATCTTGCTTCTTCACTCCAGAGGAGCAGAACCCCATAAGTGTGTGTGGTCAGACATCTTTTTAAATAAAGCTTTTTTTGAATGGACAGTTCCCAACCTTGTTCCTGTGGATGTAGTACAGTCCGTTGAGAAGCATCTGCATGACCTTCTTGATCTCGGCCAAGGTGAACTTGACGTTGGCGTTGCTCAGCAGCCCCGCCAGGTCATGCTCGCAAAAGTCGAACACCAAGTAGATGCTGCCCTTGTACCGATTGAACTGGGTGGCTGGAGGGGCGGGGGAGCACCGGCCGTGTGAGGGTACGGGCGACAGCGACACACGGAGACAGCACATCTTTGCCAGACAATGCGCGGACTCACCTTTGGTCCTGCAGATCTCAATGAGGTTGACGACATTCTCGTGTTTGAGAAGCTGCAGTATCTTTATCTCTCTCAGCGCGGTGATGGGAAACTGGACAAAGAGCAGAACAAACAGTGTTATAAGAACCCATGAAGGTATCAATACTGGGGGGGGGGGGCAAACTGAACACTGTCAACATCAATAGATTGCAATATCAAGCATGTTCTAAGGCTAGAGTGATGATAGGGGGGGGGGCGTTGCCCAGATAAATAAATTTTTAAAAATCCATCATCAAAAATTTGTCATCACTCACCCCTTCTTTCTCGTTCTCCATCAGGACTTTTTTCAAAGCCACCTTTTTCCCGGTCTGCCTATGCTTAGCTTTAAACACCTCCCTAAGGGACAAAGAAAAGAGCCGCATACATTATATACATCGGCCTTCCCGACACAACAAACGGCTATAATAAGGCCCACTGAAGAAATCCATTCGCTCTTTTTTTAAAATATCGCTTTTAAATGCCAAGGTAAACGGGTAGTGACTGTCTATCCTTGCAATTCGGCTAGCTGGCGTTCCCGATCAAACCCCGGGTAAGGCTGCTTATGATAAGCCTAAGCTATTTAACATTCACTAACATCAGTTCTCAAACTGCCCCTTACCCAAAGGTGCCCTGGCCGATCTTCGCCAGCTTTTCATATTTGGAAAACTCATCGCAGAAAGGGAACTCCACTCCGTCGTAATACTTGGACATAATGGCAGTCTCCCGGTCAGGCCTGGAAGGAAAGTACAAGAAACACGTTTTACGAGAGCTCGACTCTCACACCCACCGTATAACGACAGGCGCGAGTCACTCGTCCTCTCTCGATTCATCAAAGTCACCAGAACAGAATCAATAAGCCATAACACAACTCAAGTACACACAGAAAACGTTATATCTGCGAAATATTCATACTTTTCAGCGCCGCCGGAGCTTCCGGTTTTGTCCCGCTGCATCCCTGTTTGCTTGCCGGATACTTATTTTACGGCGCATGCTGGGATTTGGAGTTCTTTATGGTGACTCAATGCATTGCGCATGCTCATAAAACCCTAACTCCCCCCATAAAGGCGAAGCAGTGATTATCGCAGCGGTTATACAGAGTGTTATAAGACGGGAATAAATAAAATTTTTGTCCGGCGAAGAGTATTTTGATCATCTTCTGAATTACGAATGACTAGAATAGTGTACATGTAGTACAACACTGAAGGAACGTTAAGGATTTTCACCATTATCTGGTAGAAAAGAAAAGCTGCATAATATTATTAGGCGAAAAGCATGCATTTAAGTATGGACGATAAGGACATGTCCCTACAATATTGTGGCAGTATCTTGTGTGTTTAGAAGGGCGCAGGGTTCGGGGCTGATTTGGTCCCTATCAAAATGTTGAAACCAAACCTACACCCTAAGATTTTGCAATTAAGAATGATCACCATTAGAAAGTGAGGATTTATATTAGGGTTTATTTAGCAGTAGTTTTTATCCAGTGCGACATATATTTTTGAGACAGTAGTGGCAGGCAGTTCCTATAGCCATTGGAGGTTAAGGGTTCCACAGTCAAATTATCCTACCAACCCTGGGATTTGAGCAAGGAATCTTTCATTCACATGAATGGTGACCTAGCCTTCTGAGCCACACACCACCAGCACATGGAATCAATATCGCTGCAGGTATACAAGGTGAATATAAAATGGTCACAACATTTTTCAAGGTAGCTTAATCAAAGTTAATCATATTTAGTCAAATAATGTGCTGGGGATATAAAGAATTAAGTTAAAAAAAAATATTTTCACGACAACAATTGATCACAATACTTAAGTGCTGCTGTTGCTAAGAATAATAATAAATATGAAATGTGTGTATGGGGGGAGGGGGTCATTTCAAATGTTAAACAGTTAAAATGTTAGAACATTTAGCATTACCAAGTTGCACACAGATTTACAGGTTTGAGAAGCAAGCAAGTCATTAAATAACAGCATATATGTGTGGTACAGAAGCCAACTGAGAAAACAAACTTCTCATTTAATTAAAGTCAAAATTGTGAGTCTTAAAGTCTGCTGTCTATTCACTAAATGTAGCCACTATTAGAAAAGATTCAGAAATGCAGGAGTTTAAAGAATGAGTGATTCCTTTAGAAGAATCCTCAGCTTGCCATCAAATCATGTGATTTTCAACTACTTGAATGCATTTTGCATTATATACCAAACAATGTACAATTGAGGTTCAGATCTCATTTAAGACTATATTGCATAGGTGGATGGCAAGCTCACACCTGCCAGATTTCTTCCAGTCAAGAAGCAGCAGCCCTCTGAGGACCAGAGCAGCCCAACTGTGGCCTACAGTCCCACTTCAAACTCGAGAACCACCATTAAAACTAGACAAGGAAGCTGCATGTTAGTTTGAGTTTGGCTACTCTATTTGGTACAAAGACAGAGGATATGTAAATAGATAAAACGATGCTAAACACAGTAAATCGGTACATGTCACCAACACCGGACAACAAATATACCATGATGTCAAAATAAATGACAAAGCAGCTAATGAAATAACACCAAGATATTTAACCTTTCTTGCCTGTCCCTATGCCCCTGGAATTTGCTCTCCCCTGCTTCCCTCTGGCCATCCCAGTGCCTTCAATATATGACAGACTGTAAAATAAACCCTTAGTCTTCAGGATTTGCTCAGGGTGACAGCAAGCCACAGCCAGGAAGGCCGACAACTGCAGTAGATACAGCTGGATAATTGTGCTCTACTGCCCCCATCTGGTATTTTCTACTTGCACAGTGTGCTTCACGGGTATATAGGTGTATGTAAAGTGTTCTCAATGTTATCAGGAAGGGCGCTTTAGAATATTAATTGAACCTTTTAATGCTGCTTCCTGTGTCCAGCTAGGCACAATCACAAGACATACAGGACAGTATAAAAGAATAATAGAATAAAAGAAGAAAAGATTTTTTTTTCAGGCACTGCTGGTAAAGATAAACGTTTTGGTAGGTTTATGCTATTGAGCAGTCCTCCAAAGGGCCTTTTGTGGTATTAAATTATTTCTGTCCGAAATACTTTAATCAGAAGTAAAGCACACCTTCAGCTTTGACATTCCATGTCAAATAACCAGTGAAAATTCACTCAACCTGTATCTCAATATTACAGGTCACTACATCTAGGATTTGAACCGCCAGCTTTTACAGTCTCTCCACCTGCTCCCTGGTGAGGGAAAAAAACACTTTGTACATGTATACTTCTTATATACATAAACAGACACAGAAGAACCAGGCGGACCACATCTCCATAGTGTTTGTAAACAATTATCACTTCAAGTATAAAAGCTGGGCCTGAAACCCAGTCTGTTGTACTTTAAGGCACTCGGTGAGACAGAAGATGGAGCAAACACAGGCCACGGGTCACACCCATGCTCAGGTCCTCAGTGAGGGGGGGCGGAGCTTGGGGAACCACTGCTAGGCAGCGGAGGAGGGGTCCAGGTGCTTCAAAGCCCCGCCCACCAGGTGCAGACTGCCGGTAATGAGTACATGGACAGCGGCCGCCTCGCGCAAAGGTTCCGCCTTCTCCGCTGCATTGGCCGGCACCATGGAGGTTGGCTGGCTGGAGCTGACCAGCACAGGGTCCCTGCCCTGGGCGATCCACCGGAGGGCACTGAGGATGCAGGGGAACACCAAGGCGGAGGCCATCTTCCTCTCCACCACTAGGGGGAGCCCTCCAGGAATGAGAAACTCTGTACCCGGCCTGGCATCCTGCCTCACCAGACTCCTCCAGCTTCTCTGGTTGTCGAGGCAACGGGTCAGCATGCCTTCCAGTGTCACATTGAAATTCTGCTGGTCTGTACCAAGATTTAACACATTGAAACAAATGAACAAAACAACAGCAACAACAACAACAGCAGCAACAAACAGTGTTCAGCGCCGGACAGAATCAGTCACCTGCACTGCTGGATGCGGCAGCCTCCGTGATGTTGGGACAGAACACAGCGAGATCGAAGTGGCACGACTAAGAAAGCAGAAACGCAGATACGTGTAAACCAGAGGTGCACTGCAAGCATGCAGATATGCAAGCATCAGCTTCTCTACAGAGGACATATCAAGTCTAACAAAGCCTTTGATGGAAAGCTCCCAGCTGCAGGGATTTCTGAGGGAAGCTGGCACATCATGACCTAACCATGTCCAGCTTCACTCACCACAAGAATTTTGAGCAGGGCGCCCGAGTCCCGTTCTCCTGAGGTGTTGAACAGCAACACCCTGATAACGGGCCCCCTGGTGGACAAAAGCAGAAAGACAAGGAGGTTAAGAACAGCTCTTAGGCCTCCCTGAGTAAATATCACATCTCCTGAGCAGACAGTGTCCTCTGTGGTTCAGGTGCCCCCAGGGACATGCCGCGCTCACTGACCCGGCAGCACACTCCTGCTGGGCGGCGGCCTCACGGAACCAGTCCACGCAGGCCAGGATGCTGCGCGTGGTGTGAGCCCCATCCAGAAAGTAAGTGAGCGGCCCATGCTGCAGGGTCTGTGTGCGGCCAGGCCACTCCGTGTCCTCCAGCCCTGCAGAGGGAGAAAGCAAATCAAAGTATCACGTCACACATTCAAGTATACAGCACCACCGAGCGACACCAAATCACTACATACATTCATGTATTCATGTTTACAGCATCACCTAGTGGCACCTCATGTCATACGGCTTTGTGCCACATACAGTAATACCATCATCACCAGCAACACCATCCCCATACTGACCCTTGACCATGAAGGTGCTGGGCTGGAAAGACGAAGCCTGGGAGATGCTGCCGTTCTCTACAGGAGGCGAGGGCTGCAGGTGACCTGGGAGATTATACGTCATCTTTAGCAATAAGCCAGGGAGGCGGAAGTGGCCACCACACGCAGAGAGAGACACAGACCAGTCTGGCAGCGCTGCTGTAGCCAGCAGCGGCTGAGCTGGAGGGCGAGGGAGGCGTTGGAACGCTGATGCCTGCCTGCCAAGCCCAGACGCAGGGGGCCCACCTCTGGCTGGTACTCCTCCAGGTCAGGGCACATGCTGAGCGAGCACTGACAAGAGGGAGGGAAAGAGGGCCGGGGAGACACACAGCCGTCACATGAGAGCTCAGTGAGGAAGAAGGACATGCCCCCGTCACACCTGATAGGCTGCCGAGGGTGTCACTCACCCCAATTTCCATGGCCCTGTCCTGCAGTACAGCCATGGGCCCATCAGGCTGCTTCACTGTGAATGCTGGGACACCTGGCTGTGGGGGGAGGGGGAGACTAGCTGTTCAGGGCTGCATTCCCACCCCACAAACATAGTAACCCAAAACCCCCAAAATTCCCTCCCCACAGACACACAGCTGGTTCACCTTAAAGATCCCCCCTTTCTGCCAGGCTATCTTCTCAATGGTGTCTCCCAGGATGCTTGTGTGATCAATTCCCAAGGATGAGACTCCACACACCCAAGGCTTCCTGTCAGGGTGCACACAGGCACAGAGAAACATAACCATTACGCAACTAAACTGCAGGCAGTGACTCTCCAAAGCACACTAACCACCATTACAACACTATTTAAAGTCAGAAGTCCAAAGTCTAAGGTCTGCACAGACGCATCTCTAGGGAAGTCGCAGGAGATCCCGCACGCACCATCTTATTGGTGGGCATGGTGCCAATATTGGCACGATAACAGTCTGATGTTACCCTTTGGCCACAGCATGGTAAACAAGGCCGTGTGACTCTTATGCAGTTATTAAAAACACGGGGAAGGGTTCCCAGTATACAAACACATGGCTCCCCAGTCTCACCGTGTGAGAGGAATGAGTGCAACACCCACGAGGGTGGGGAGGGGGACACTTTATACATTGTCTGAAAGTAACACATTTTGTTGCTGTTAGTGCCTGTTGCACCTACCTGATTATGTTTGTGCAATCATAGGCACCCCCGATGCCAACCTCGATCACGGCTAGATCCACCTGCATCACAGGAAAGGCGGCTGTTAGGCCCATAATTACACGCATGCAGGTAGGCATGTCAGCAGGCAGGCAGACACAGATTATGCATCTATATTTTTGTGGGGACTTTCCATTCATTTCTATGGGCAAAACCTTAATCACAACTACGACAACCTCTACCCCTACTCAGCCCCAACTGTAACCATATGTAACCAAACAAAACACTTTTGGCATTTTTAGTTTGATTGCATTCACAGATTTTTATGTAACTGAGGTGCCCCTTGTGGGGACCAGTAAAATGTCCCCAAAAGGTCAAAATAACATTTTTTTTGCACTGTGGGCACATCTGGTCCCCACAATGTAATATATACACGTCCAAAGACACACGCACAAAAGCGTATATAATTCAGCCCGATCCATGCCAGTAGCTCACACTGACATGGGGAGAGGGGTGGCAGGGCTGGGGGAGGGGATGCAAGAGGGGCCGGTTACAGTGCTTGTAAGTAGCTCCTTTGAATCACAGCCAAATGTGCTGGCTGATAGAGAGAGACTGGGAGACTCACTTTCTCCTGCAAGAAGACGTGGAAGGCTAAGATGGTGAGGAATCGGAAGTAGGCTGGCATGCTCCCCCCGTGGGCATCCTGGGTGGGGGGTGGAAGAGGAGGCACAGTCATAACGGGACCATCAGCGGGAGCCACGCGAATGATGGGCATCGCCGCCAATCCTACCTTTGTCTCGTCCAGCCTCCCGTACACCTGCCAGAAGTACTTGGTGAAGAGCTCTTTGCTGATTGGCTGGCCGTTAATCCGAATCCTCTCCCGGACCTGCACCAGGTGTGGGGAGCTACAGGGGCAAATTTCAGCATTAACGAGCGGAGAAGAGGTGTTCTCTGCAAGTGTCTGGTTTCACGTTTTGTCGTCACATGTGTTCTACCGTTGTAGCGCAAGGCCACAGGGCAGGATGTAGGAGAACATACAGCCACCTCCACCTCATGTGAGAGCTGGGTTCTGTTCGTATCCCATACGTAAGTTTCTGGACACAACAAGAGACATCAACATAGATGCCTTTAAGGCGGCTTTTCTCATCCTATAGCAGTATTTCCCAATCTGGTCCTCGGGGACGCTAAGGCAGTCCACTGTCTGGCAGGGAGCTGGGAGAGAGTAAAAAATGTGGACCATCTGTGGGTCCCCAAGGACCGGGTTGGGAAGCGCTGCCCTACTAGGTACAATCTTGTTTGCGCAGGTCAAATCCATGCAGCTCATCTAAACAGTCATATTCCACAGAGAATATAGGACTTAAAAGCTGAGGGGAGGATTTACCAAAAGGAGTGTATAGCTGGTAACTGCCCTCAGTTCCTGTTACTAAACATTTTACCTGTAGAATCCAGTGCGGAAGCCATAATTCTTAAGAATGCGTTCAGTGAATGCACATGTGGATCCCTGACAAGGAACACAGACAGGACTGTAAGAATACGCACAGCTTTGCACAGCAAATATGATGTGGCGTGACTGAGCCCTCCCACACACGCACCTTGCCCTTTGTGCCAGTAACGTGGATGATGTTCAGGCTGTCCAGCTCCTCCACCTGCAGAGCAGAGCCGAGTCAGGATGAGGATGACGGGATGGACAAGGCATAAGCCGCAGTTATAACACAGGCAGGGTACCCATTCTCCCCATGTGATGAGTATTTAAATGCATACACACTGCTCTCTGTATATAAACTCTTGTGTCCAGAGAGGAGTACTGCAAAGCAGGTTTGCTGGCTTAGTGAGGTGAGGTTTTACATACTATGAATCATAGCCTGGTCTTTAAACAGGGTGTATTGGCATGGTAATTTACACCACATGCATAACTCGCTCCAAGCAGGTCTTTGTGCAGACTTTTGGCTTAAACCAGGCACAAGTCCCACCCTATCACCACAATACAGCCTTTGACTAAATTGTTGGAATGGGTGATACCACTGATTTTCTTTTCTATGCGATACAGATGAAATGAAATGTTTTTAATCCAATATCAATATTAGGTGCCGGTCCCTTTACGGCTCCTTGCCTGTTGCAGGTTAAACGTTAACTTACAGAGTTGATAATCACCATCGTAGTACCGTTTCACATTGATTGCGGCAAATGGGGTTAGTTAACTCAGCTCTACAGTTAACTCTGGGTATGTAAAGCTCACTTTGTAGTACACCCCACTCGTGTCTAAGCCCCCTGTTTCATGCTGTCCTGTATTTTGTACGGCAAGTACTGTGAAAACCTTCCCCCATGTCACCTGCTGTTGTATGTTGCACCATGATCCAGGGGGATCCTGCTATTTTGTGTCACTGTATAGTTGCATATGCATGATATTTCAATGAAGCCCCTTTGACTTGGGTTCATGATAACTATGTAAACGTTATGTACACAGTCTCCACACTATCCCCAGAATCATACCAAAAGTAAAAAAATAATTCCTGTCTTACTGTAGAGGTAAAGGTAAACTTGATTAAAAAATATGTAATATACCTGCCACATGAACGTTAATTCTACAGTATGATCATCCATGAAAGACAATTATGAAAAGTTAATGCATAACTGGCAGCTGACCCAATGCAGCAGGTGCAGGAGGACTTTGGCTTGTTTGGGATGTTGCGTGGCACAGTGGGGGGTGTTACCTCCAAGCCCGAGCGCTTGAGGAAGCCCCTCATGGCCTGCAGCTGAAGCTGGGGGTGTCCGCGCTCGCGACGCACTTGCTCCAGAGCACTGGCGTTGGTCTGCAGCGTGTTTAGCGCGCACACGGCGTCCTGCGAGGTGTGAACGCGTATAGTTACAATTAATATCAACTCAGAAACGCGTTAAAAACTGCGCTTCATTACGTACTTAACGAGCTTGGAAACTTACTCAACAAGTTAACAAGTCAACAAGTTAATACATATGACGCCCAATGGCGACAGAAAAAAAGCCTACCTGTCAAACACGTGGACCGAAAACAGGAGATGAGATCGCGACGCGTCAATAACTAACCAGCTTGTGCAATCTAGTCCATTACGCCCAGGATTTGAACATTAGAAATAACTAGAATTACACCCCGTACAGACACAGCCATTTCACAGCACATCAGTCACACTGTTAACGATGCGAAACCTCTCAAAATTTCAGTCCACATCTGATAAGCTGATGTAATACTACTCAGCAGTTGCAACTGGCCGTCGTCTTCAAAACTAAGTCCAAAAGTGTAAATATGTCCATCTTGTTAGCTATATATACTGTAAGCATCTCGGAAAGCGTCTTATTCCTTAAGTGACAGCATTTTTAGAAAAAGATTCAAGTTCAGAATAATATCGTGTATATTTTACTGGCCAACATGAGGTTTTATCCGCCGAGATCCCCCACCTGGTACTCCATCCTGGGGAGCCTTGCTGTCTTAGTGCTCGAAGTGCTCGCCGCAGTTAAGGTTGCCCAGCTTCGGCGGCTGAGAAGCACCGCGAGCACACGCTCCCAAACGCGGGACGGGCGCGCCATCCTCGGGTTGCTCGGCACACAGGAACAGGCCAAATTTGGTCGCGTTCCCCCCGCGCGACCGGCACACAACTCGCTTCGCTATTGGCTCACGCTGTCTTTCCGTTGACGTCACAATTTTTTCAGGTGACGAAGAACAAATGCGACGATGGTATGCTCTCCGCACGTGTGCAGGTGGACTACCTGAAGCTTTTCAGAATATTCAAATTGGTGTTGTCCAATAGTGATTTTTTTGGTAAACAATCTGATCATTATAACAAAATATTACATTCATAAATACCGATATGCTAAATCCCCCCCTTCATGGCCTGCTCTTAAAAACGAGCTATCCCTGTTGTGTACATCTCTGAACTTAATAAATAAGCCCCAAGCAATTAAATTGCATACATTTTTAGAGGAGTTTGATTTTTCTTAGCCCCCTTATTTAAGTTATATATCTTGTTTATAAAACTTCACCTCTAAAGCTTTCATGATCCCCCTTGTCTACCTTTTTTCCTGCTTTTGTTTCTTGTTCTCTATTATTTATTTTATTTTATTTTTTTAATATATATGTTTAGTTAAAATTATTGTTGGTTTGATTGTTAAATACCAACTTCACCGTTGCAATGATGTATTTTCTTTAAATTAAGGTAAAAGAAAAAGGAGGTGTGACATAATGTGATGTAAGACACTGTTTCGCTTGTCTATTTGAGATTGTCATTGTCATTGTTCTAAATAAAGTTTATTGAAGAAAAAAAAAAAGGTGGACTACCTGAAGTGAACGGGCAGTTTCTCTTAATTGTATGGTATCGATAATGGGGTTTTGAGCCTTGAAATTGGTGTCGGTTTTTAACTGAAGCTGAATTGCATTTCAATTCAGAGAAGTGCGAGCTTTTGCCAATTCAAAATCATTTATGTACCAACGTTTTCTGTATAATATTACAATTGAAAAGGAAGTTAAATATTTAGGTATAACAATCACAGAAGACGTTACGGCAAGAGAACGGTTAATTGTGGGAAGCATTTAAAAAAAGTCAATTTTTAAATAATTGGTCACAAAAGGACATTGCATTTTTTTGGACGAATTTTCGGCATAAATCAGAACTGCTGTCAATTTTTTTACTCATTATTTGTGTCAAAACACTACAGACAATTAATAAAGCATTATTATTTTATTTGGAGAAACCAAACACCATTACGTTAGAAATGGAGATGTAGTATGTAAGCTGCTAAAGCCCGCCCACCCGTTAAATCAGTGCCAAAAGTCAGAAGGAAAAAAGCATTCCAAAAGCAAAAAATAAATTAAAAAATCAAGAAGCAAAAAATAAAAAATTCAAAAGCAAAGAAAAACATTCCAGAAGCAAAACAAATTATAGTAGAAGGAAAAAAAAAGATTTTATTCGACTTTTTTGATATTTGGAAAACATTTCCAATCTGATACTTAATGATTTGCTTGCGGTTTTCAAAATTTTGATTAATACTTTTGGCACAAAATTAACTCCATATAGTTTCTTCTCGCTGAGTGTGGTTCAAACGTAACTGAACTTAATGTAATGAATGGCAGCATCAATATGAAGTGGTAGTTGTTGGGTAATGGACAGTCTGATTGGTTTAAGCTTCCCTAGAAAATATTTGATACAGTTGAATAGGTGCTGACTATCAATTAAAATGTTATTTTAAAACGCCTAAATTACAGATCAAATTATCTTCGTTTTATTGTCAGTTTTAACCCTCTTGAGTTGTTGCAACTGACCCAAGGTGTTCTGTTGCACTCACCCACATATCCTTTGTTACCTTAAAAATGAATGGGTTTGATTTTACAGATGAAAAATTGTACCAATAGCAAACTTATGCTTACATTTTCTGCAGAATGTTTTCCTTGCCCAGTTAAAAGAAGAATTATGGAGATGTTGTTTACAAAAGAAAAGGTTAAGAAAACAAGAAAGAGATGTATGGGTTTCCCAGTTTTACCTATAGGTCTTAGAGGTACACTATAAGATTATAAATGATGTGTACCCCTGCAACAAGTTTTGGAACTGCAGATTTAAGTTGAATCTGAATGATTGCACTTTTTGTGAAGATCACTCTGATTCTTTGGAACATTTATTTTATGAATGTAAATTCTCTTAAATTATTTTAATGGATGGTAAGAAAATAGATTTTTTTTGTCTGAATAATATGATTCTGCTTGCAAAATATTACATAAGATGTATGTACATAGATAAGTAGATATCTTAAAAACACTCCCCTTTTCATTTAATTTAAAATGATCTTGTTATATACTTTAAGTCCTTAAGTAAAATGCACAAAAGGAATGCAAAATTGGTATAAGGTAATGCAATTTTATTTTGTAGAGTAAATCCTTGCATCTGTTTTATTTTTAAATTATTGCTCATATTTTTTGTATTTGTGTTTTGTATTTGGTTTGTAATAATTGCGAATGTAATCTGTATTAAGTGTTAAAACGCCGATCCAGGAAGGAGGCAGACCCCGAAATGCAGGAGACTGGTTTAATAAGACTGACAGACCCGATAACACACAATGCTAAAAGGGAAATCCGTGAGAATAGTCGGGTCGGGCACTGAAGGGTCGAAGCCGGGGAGATCAGTCCTACAAAGAGGGACAGGACGATGAGACGACGGGATGGATCGGGCAGGGCGAGTGGAGCAGGCGGGGACGCAGGGCAGGTGAGACGGCAGGGCACGACGACACAGGCAGGGAAAGGAAAGGAGAGGAGAGGAGAGGAGACACGAGACAGAGAAATGCTTTGTAATGTTCCAGTACATGGCAACAATACTTCGCGACTTGCTGTTAGTGCATTCAAGCTTTAAGTATTAGACCGGTTAAAGAGGATGATTGTTAACTGCTGTGCTGCCCTGCCCCTGTGGGCGTGACAGTAAGAGTGATTTTATTTTTAAAAAATGCGAGTTAGAGGGGGGATTGAGATATATAAAAATAAAACGATTATAAAAACTATTTGGAAAAAATATTTGATTTGATTTAGACGATTGAAATATCGTACCTAGTGACATCTGGTGGCCAAATAGTGCCCCATGGACGCCACAGTATGACACCTGTCTTGACGAGACCCACAAAAACAGAATGCACGTGATGTTAGGCTATTAAAGACAATTATGGCGTCACATATCCCAATAACGTGTGTCGCTGCGTTCTGTAACTGTATCTGTTTTATATTGACGGGGAAACAGGCAAGGGGGCAATGAGAATCGGTGAAATTATACTTATAACATAGATAGACTTCATCCGCCAATAGCGTTCGCTGTCAGAAACGGCATGACTCCGCCCCCAAACTGTCAAAACCTCCCCCGGGCAGAACGCGAGCGCAGAAATTTCCCTCGAGCTCAGAGAGCAACCTAAGGATATTATGATGAACGCACATGCAGCTCTTTGTCCTGTGCTCGCGAGTTTCACTTTAGCGCTCGCGAGTGGCATATTTCCGCGTGTGAGTTTTGACTTTGCGCTCGCGAGTGGCATATTTACGCGTGTGAGTTTTGACTTTGCGCTCGCGAGTGGCATATTTACGCGCGCGAGTTTTGCCTCTAATGTGACGCCATAACTATGTTTAAAGCAGGGGCGTCGTTTGGCCTATTTTAGGGAAGCTGATGTTTTAGCCCCTCCCTACAAATAAATGCATATTTATTATTCATTAATAGCTTTTTGTGTTATATATATACTAATATCGTATGCAGTATACAATGCAATCAATTACAAACGTAACATCGCATCTCCAAATTCACATTGCGGGCTACGCTTAGGACACGGGGGAAGAGGTTGCACTAATTAAACCAGTATTTCGGTTGATTACCAAAAATGTACCAACATGTGTAGGGTACAGCTATAGGTTGCACCGGGCGGGACTAAGGAAGAGAAATGTACAAGGAGAACGAAGGCATATATTGAGACAACTTTTTATCCAAAACGTGACATTTATGAAGCTTTACGAAACCCGATAATATGAAAAAGCAAAGTATATTTTTCAGTATAAGCAATACAGTGCCGTTGTACTGAACACATTTGGCAAAACAGTAATTTCTCATATTACATCTGGATGTCTAAAAATATCCTTTGAAAAATAACCTAAATTTTACCGAAATAGTCCACATCATTATAATCATAACAATCATTCTATGTGTACAAAACTGAAAGGAGGTATTTACCAATTTCAGCAGCTAAACGAATGGAAGGTTTTATACCCCTTTAAATTTTTTTTCTTTCAAAAAGAACAACTGAGATTATAGCCTATCCTAAACTCACAATCAATTTAACACTTATACGAAGTTTTAGAACCCAACGATCACGCACAGTTCCCGTGAATTTTACCGCTGAATTTTACCTCAGGCATCCTCCCGCCTTTTCCACCGAATTTAAAAGCGCGTCTCGCGCGATGTAGTTTGTAGTTTTTTCGTTGCTGCTAAGATCGAATCTGGCTGAACTGCGTTCCTTTGTTATTGAAAATTAGAAAAAAATATATCTAAATGAATCCACTGCAAAATATGTCTACTATGGTAAGCTTGTATTTGTTAAGGGGGGTGAATCCTAGAATGGCCCTTGGTGCAAATTATGGTTCTGTGCAAAATATACATGAGGTAGTACAGCCATGGAAAAAATTAAGAGACCACAGCACAATTTTTTGTCTCACTAATTTCTCAATTTATCGGTGTGTGGCTGTGAATAATATATATTTTCTGCAAACTGAAGCCTGGTTCTTCCTCGTTTATCATTAAAAGGCATCTTCCTTGCTTTATGGGACTTAAGCCCTGCTTCAAGGAGCCTGGTGCAAACTATCCTAGCAGTGCACTTCACACCTGCACTTAATGTTTGCCATTCCTTTTGAAACTCACATGATGTCATCCTCCAATTCATGAGAATCTGTTGCATAAGTTAATGGTCATCTCTGGCATCAGAAAATTGCTTCTGCCCTGGCTGGTTTTTGGTCATTCCCAGTGAGCTTCACCTCATTCTTGTGTACTGCTGTCTTAGAAATTTTGAACCTGGAAGCAACCTGCTCAGTGTAGCCTTCTGCCAGCAGAACCACGATTAAGCCAGGATTTAAAAATGCAGATTTA